CCCTTCCCTTCCCTTCCCTTCCCTTCCCTTCCCTTCCCTCCCTCTCCCGATCCCAGCTGCCAAGAGCTGCTGGCACAAACCAAAGTGTCGCCGTGTCCCCGCAGCATCGACGAGGACGAGAACCGCTACCCACGCAAGCTGGCCTTCGCCGAGTGCCTGTGCAGCGGCTGCGTGGATGTCAAAACCGGCCGGGAGACCACGTCGCTCAACTCGGTGACAATCCACCAGAGCATGCTGGTGCTGCGGCGCAAGCCGTGCCCGGGGCCCGCGGGGCTGGGGCTGGTCACGCTGGAGGTGGAGTACATCAAAGTGCCCGTGGGCTGTACCTGCGTCCTGCCCCGCACGGTGCCCTGAGCCCCGCACCGCCCGCCGTGTGTGACCGTGTCACCGCCCGGCCCCCGCCCGTGCTTGTTTTAGAGCACCCGACCCCGCCAGGGTGTCCCCTGCCCTGGTTATTTATGAGTTATTTATAAGCCTTGCTATCGGGGGGGTTTTGTACCCCGTATTTATTGCTGACACCCCCCCCAAGCCACGGCTGTGACTCCAGGGCTGGCATCGCCCCACGGTGCTCCCAGCTGGACCCTGTGAGTGCTGCCTGGGCACTCACTGGTTATTTATTCCCCCAAAAAGCTATTTATTGTCTCCTCCCTGGTGCTATTGAATGCTGCCAATAAAAGCCAACAACCCCTGGCATAGTCCTTTGCTTTGTTCCCAGTTCAGGGCATTGGGATGTTGGGAATTGGGGCACAGGGATAGGTGGGCAGAGCACCAGTGCACCCAGTGCACCCAGTTCAGGATGAACTGGGAGGTGATGGGCAGGCCAGCAGGGCACGGGGGTGCCCCACACCCCCAGGCCCGGGGGGCACCCAGCCCTGGCACCCCAACACCCACACCTTTCCCACGGCTCTGCCCCCCGGCACCACATCCCACGGAGCTGGTGCCACCTGCCAGGGCCACTGAACCTGTGCTGGCAGCACCTAGGGGGGCCCTGGGCCACCTGCAGCCCCTGAGGGGCCAGGGCCTGTGTGGGGAGGGGACAGAGAGGGGCCTGGAGCAGCTGCTGATCCCGGTGGGATCAAGGATTTAGCACCCACATCACACTGGGGAACTTCCTGCACCCAGAGGTGGGACGGGGATGGGAAATGCTCCCCACATTCCCTGCTGGGGGTGATCCGGGGGTTTGGGGGCTCTTTGGGGACTCACTGTGCAGCTCCCTCTCAGTTCCACCCCACTGTTGGCTCCATAAGGATTTTGGGAGGGGACCCTGCATATTCTGCACATCCACATCTGGATTTGCCCATAATTGCACTGTTTGTCCTCAAATCACCTCCCCCAGACAGGGTAGGAACGGGAGGATTCCCCCTGGAGCAGGAGGCAGGGGCAGCCAGTGCCTTTCCCACTTTTTATTGCAACAGCAACTGCAGAAATGACAAAAAAACAGGGAGAGACAGAGCAGAGCTCCCTGATCCCCCCCCAGCGCTGGGGATTCCCTGAGAGCTGGAGTTCCACAGGGATTTGGGGAGTCCCCAGGGAACTGGGGGGTGCTTGGAGAGTTGGGACCCTCAGGGAGCTGAGCATGCCCAGGGATTTGGGGTTTCCCAGGAGCTGAGGAGCCCCTGGAAACAGAACACTCACAGGGAACTGAGAATTCCCATGGATTTGGGGTATCCTAAGGAGCCAGGAAGCCCTTGAGGGCTGCAGACCCCACAGGAAGCTGAACATTTTTGGGGATCTGGGGAGGGCCAGGAGCTGGAGACCCCATACAGAGTTAAGCAGCCCCAAGGATTTGGGAATCTCCAGAAGCTGGGAAACCCCTGGAGACTGGAAACCCCACAGGGAGCATCACATCACTGGGAATTTGGGAACTGAGCATCTTCGGGGATTTGGTGATCGCCAGGAGATGGAGATCCTACAATGAGCTGAGCTTTGCTGGGGATTTGGAGATGCCCAAAGCATCACTGGGGATTTGGGAACCCCTTGGGGAGCTGGAGAGCCCAGGGGGAAATGACGATCCCAGGGATCTGAGCATCACCAGGAACTGGGGACCCACACCAAGGAGCTCAGCACCCGCAGGGTTTCGGGGATCCCCGAGGTTTTGGGGATCCCTGCAGTGGATCCAGGAGCAGCTGGGAAGCAGCAGCAGGGCAGCAGGGCAGGAGGATCCCCCATTATTCCACCTCCACAGGGATGGGGTTCACCTGCCCCCCAACCTCCGGCTGCTTCTTGCGGGCGTCGGGGGGGGGCCGGGGTGGGGGGTTGCTGGGGGGCTGCTTGAAGGTGCCCCCCACTTGTGGCCGCTCCCGGGGCTTCTGCTCGATGGGTCTCCACTCCTCCCCTCGAACTGCAGCCTGTGGGATCGGGAATAGTGCCAAGGAACAATCCCCACCCCAAAATCGGGCTGTTGGGGGCAGGGAAAGCACATCTGGGACCAGAATAGGGGAAGGAGGATGTGACCCCCCCATCCACCCCGATTGGGACAGGGTTTTCCTGCAGCCCAGTTTGGGAATGCTCTTGGAATTCACATGGTCCATGGGTTTAAGGGTGCCCTTCTTCTCCCAGCCTCCCAAAACCCCCCAAAACCCCTCTGCACTCACCAGCAGGTAGATGCCACTGGCAATGCCCAGGCAGACGGTGCCCAGGATGGTGGAGAGGAGGAAACCAGCAGGGACAGCCAGGCTGTGACAGAGATTTGGGGTTCAGAGGGAGTTGGGGGGACTCAGCCCCCAGTGCCCACCCTGCACCCCACTCACGCAGCGTGGAGGATGGCTCGGATGTAATAATTCCTGGTGAGGGGCCCGAACAGCTTCACCACGGCTGTCAGGTACTTCTGGCCACTGCAGGGTGACAACAAGGGGGTCACAGGGGGTATCCCCACCCTGGGGGGACACCCAGCCTCCAGGGATCCCCATTTCCACAAGGATCACCCTGAGGAACCCACTCGTGAGATCCAGCTCTGCTCCCACCCCACTGCTCCCACATCCCTGTGTTTGGGGGGTACCAGGAAAATTCCAGGGATTCCAGGGGCACAGCACTCACCACCTCTCCATAGTGGAGCCCTTTTTCCGCTTGCTCCTGGGATACTCGAGCAGGCACACCAGGACACCTGCAGCGCTGCCGGGGCGTCAAGGAAAGCATCGGACCGGGAGTAGCCCCGAGGGACAACCCGCACCCCAAAAAGGGGCTGTGCTGGGGCCAGGGTGGGGACATAAGGATGTGACCCCGCTCCTGTTCGTGCTTCCCACCCCGATGGGTTTTCCCGCAGCCCAGCCCCGGGAATGCTGTCGGGAAGGATACATGGAATACGCCGCGAAGTACCAGCCCTTGAACTGCCCCGCCACGGCCACGATCCCGCCCGTCAGCAGGACTGCGGGAACAGCCGGGATGGAGGGGTCAGAGCGAGACCCCAGCCCGGGGTACGACCCCCCAAACCACGATACAACCCCCCAAACCACGATACAACCCCCCAAACCCGGGATACAATCCCCCAAACCCGGGATACAATCCCCCAAACCCGGATACAAACACCCAAATCACGACACAAATCCTCAGCCCGGGATACAGCTCCCAAAACCTCGGATACAACCCCGAATTCAGGATATGTCCCCCCCAAACTCAGGATACAGCCCCCCGCAAACCCCCAACCGGGGATTATGGCCCTGGGGACTCCGACACACGGGATTCAGGGAAGGGGACTGGGGGTTCCTTGGCCCCAAGAATTCCAACATGCGGGATGCTGGGGAGATGCTGCGTGCGGGACCCTCTGGTTTCAGGGAACTCCAGCGCCTTGGGGGGAGATTTTTGGCCTCGTGGCCGGAGGAAGAGACGAGAAGTGGAGGAGGAAAGGACAGAACGGAGGAAGAGAAGGCAGAGGAGGAAGAGAAAAGGAGGAAGCGGAGTCTCCAGCCCCGCTGGGCCGGGACTTCCCGAGCGCCTCCCGCCCGTATCCCCCAGCCCGGTGGGACCGGGACCCCCTCCCCAAATCCCCCTCACTCCCTGCAGCTCCCGGGGACTTTCTGAAGTGCCCGAGTCCCCTCCACTCGCCCAGCCCCGGCCCCCCCAAGCCCCCCGCACTCACTGAGCCCGGCGGCGAGCGCCTGCTCGTTCGCCCACATGGCCCACTCGATCTGCCCCATGGCCCGCAGCGGAACCGGCCGGCCCGAGCGCCTTCGGCTACTCCCGGCTCCGCTCGGCTCGGCCCGAGCGGGTTCGGCTGCTCCCGGTTCGGCTCAGCCCGGAGGGTTCGGCTCTGCTGGGCTCAGCCCGATGGGGTCCTGCCCGTCCCGTTCGGCCCGATGGGGCTGGCGCTGCTTTTCCCGCTGGAGCTCGGCTGGTCCCGGCTCCGCTGGGCCCGGCCCGTCCCGGTTCGGCTCCGCTCGGCCGGTCCCGACCCGGAAGGCGGGTGCGGCGTTACCAGCACAGACCACGCCCCCCCGAGTTAACCACGCCCACTTTCAACATGCCACGCCCCCCCGGGGACACGACACCGAGCCGGGGCCACAGCGGGGACACTGGGGTGACAGGGACGGTGGGGAGGGACTGGGTCAGCACGATCCGGGGGGACGGGATCAGCCCCAGGGACACGGGGACATCAGGGGCCATGTGGGGGGACAGGATCCGTCCCAGCAAGGGACAAGGAGGGGACAGGAGATGTGCAAGGGACAGGGGCCTTATGAGGGGACAGGATTCATCCCAGCAGCTGGGACAACTGAGGGATGGGGACAGGATCAGTCCTGCAAGGGACAGTGAGGGGACAGGGGCCATGTGGAAGAACAGGAACTTGGGGGCATATGGGACAGGAGATGCCCCACAAGGAACACAGGGGTCATGTAGGGTGACAGAGCTGTGCACAGAAACAGGATCAGCCTCAGGGACTGTCCCCATCTCCTGCTCCCCCCCAGAACCACACACAGAACCTGACACCCCAAAACAGCACTGGAACCAGGAAACCTCTATTTCCTTACAAAAGATTAAAAAACCAGCCCCAGGGTCACATCCTGCCCCAGGGCTGGGCACAGCTTTGCAGCAGGCCTGGCTCAGGGTCCTGAGGCCCGCTGGTGGCACTGACAGAGTCCCCTTGGCGCGTCCCAGCTGTCCCAGAGTGTCACCAGGGTCAGGCATGGCTCCGGGGCAGCCCATCCGCTCCCAGGAGGTGCTGGCTGGGATCATCCACGAGCTGGGGACCAGGGCCAGGCTGTGGGGCAGGACACGAGTCAGGGACACTGGGGAGCCCCCTGTTCTGGGTCCCACAGACCCCAAAAGGTCACCCCATGGGTGGTGCCAGTGGGAATATGTCCAGAAATGGGGTCCTGCACACCCACCTGGGGATGGGGTCTCACACACAGCCCTGCGGATGTGGACAGGGTGCTACACACTCCCCTAGGAACTGGGACAGGGATGGGGTCCTGGACACGCCTGGGGACAGCACTGGGGTCCCACCACCCACTTGGGGCCAGGGATGGGGTCAGACCCCCCCACAGAGCCGTGTCCCCCCAGTCCCACTCCCCCAGCCCCCCTGCCCCTCACCTTGGTGTGCAGGATGTACTGCACAGCCCCTGGCACAGGCTCGGTGACCACGGCGGCCACCAGCTCCTGTGACAGCGTGGCCGAGCCCACGGGCAGCCCCCGGACAAACCTGTGGCATGGTAAATATGTCACTCCCTGTGTCCCCACCACCCCCCCCGTGCCCCCCCAGTAAGAAGTGAGGGTCCCTTACTGGTCGCCGTTGGTGGCAGGGGGGAAGCTGCGCCTCACCACCTCCACAAACTCGGCCACGGTGTCGGCCAGCGCGAAGATGACGGCGTTGGGGCCGGCGTCGAAGGTGTAGGCGACCTGTGGTGGCATTGTGGGGACGTGGGGACCTGGGGAAGGGCCACCACGGTGCTGTGACACCCCCAGGGCCCCGCTGGTACCTTGGTGTGGCCGTGGTGGGCGTTGTAGCGATGTGCCAGCGCGATGATTTGGCGTGACAGGTCCGTGAGGTAGAAGATGGGCGGGAAGGTGTCGAGGCAGGTGGCGTGGAACTGGTTGCTGTCCCTCATGGCCAGCTGGCCAAAGCCCTCAAAGTCCCGCTCCTGGATGTGCCTCATCATCTGGGCCAGGCGCTCGGGGACCACTGCCTCTGCCCGGTGCTGCCACAGCAGCGGGGTGACCATCAGCCCACCTCAGTGACACCCACGGCAGGTGGGTCTTGGTCACCCCAAATCAGTGACAATCACAGCAAACGGGTTGTGGCCACCCCAGTGTAGTGACGTAAATGGCAGGAAGGTCACAGTTGTCTCAATTCAGTGACATCCACAACAGGTGGGTTATGGTCACCTCGAATTTGGTGATACCCACAGCAGGAAGGTCACTGTGCCCTCAAATTGGTGACACCCACAGCACCATGACGCTTTGGGTGTCACTGCACACCCTCCAGCCCCGTTCCAAGGGAAAGCAGACCCTGTCCCTGCCCGGGCACGATGTCCCCCTACCTTCAGCAGGGGACTGGTCTCCACACTGGTCTGCATCCCCGCCGTGCTGCCCACCGGCTTCTTCTCCCCACTGACCTGGGGGACACAGACAGTGGGACACGGCTCTTCCTGAGCCCCCCGAGTCCCAAACCCCACCCAAATCCCCTGCCAGCCCCTCACCACCAGGACGAGGACACGGAGCTCAGGCCAGTGCGTCTCGGGGGCCACCTGGAGGGCCAGGCTGTCGGTGCCATCGGGGCGTTCCCCGCGCTGCCACTGCACAAAGCCCCCGAACATGCTGCGACAGGCACTGCCCGAGCCCCGCCGGGCCACCTCGGACAGCTCCTCCTCCAGCCCATAGAGCCGGGCCAGCGCCGACACTGCGGGGACAGGCAGAGGGGACACCCCTGTCACCACTCCTGCCGCTACCACAGAGCTGGGCCAGTCGGAGCACAAACAGAGGGGACACCCCTGTCACCCCTCCTGCTGCTACCACAGAGCTGGGCCAGTCGGAGCACAAACAGAGGGGACACCCCTGTCACGCCTCCCGGTGCTACCACAGAGCCAGCCAGTGCACAGAGGAGACACCCCTGTCACCTCTTCCCAGTGCCCTCCATGCCACACTGCCACAGGCAGAGGACATGTCACAGCAAGGGCACACCCCTGTCACCCCCCTGAGCCAAGGAGGGGACAGAGCAGGGCCAGGGACACCCCCAGCCCCGAGCCCTGTCCCACAGCACTCACCCAGGCAGGCGTAGCCGGCGGCGGACGAGGCGAGCCCGGCGGCCGTGGGGAAGTTGTTCTCGGAGGCGATGTGGATTTTGTAGGAAAGGCTGAGCGTGGCCGTGTCCTCCCCGCCCCCGCGGCGCTTCCGGGCCAGGCGCCGCACTGGGGGGGACAGCGGGGTCAGGGGACACCGGGAACACCGGGGACACCCACGGGAAGGGGATGCTCACCCTCACGCAGACACGCCTGGACCCGCGGGTGCCCCACGTCCGCCTCCTTCCCGTTGAGCCACAGCCGGTCCTCGGTGAAATCCCGGCTGGCAGCCGCTGTCGTGGTGGTCTTGAGCTGTGGGGAGAGAGGGAGGGGGCTCAGCACTCCTGAAGGGCTGGGACGGGGATGATCCTAAACCTGATCCTGATCCTAAACCTGATCCTGATGCTGACCCACCTGGTCCTGGTGCAGCGTCACGCTCAGGGAGGAGTTGATGGGCAGGATGAGGTCGGTGTCACGCTTGCCCCCTGCAAGACAGCACGGCTTGGAATGACATGGAATGGCTTGGGACAGTTTGATGGCACGGATGGACAGCAAAGCATGGCATGACAGGGCATGGCATAGCTTGGAATAGCATGGCTAGAAATGGCATGGCACAGCCAGGGATGGCATGGCTAGGAATGGCACGAAACAGTTTGCAATGGCACTGGTGGACACAGCAAAGCCCGGCAGGACAACACCTGGCATGGCATGGCACAGCTTGGAATGGAATGGCACACCCAGGAATTGCACGGCAAGCAGAGACACAGCACAGCACGGCTGGTGTCACCTGGCCCGGCACAGCCGCACACGGCACACCCGGCACAGCCCGGGATCCGTACACCCCAGGCCCCCCGCGCAGGTGCCAAGCCCGCCCCGGCCCGTGTGCCCCGGCACTCACAGTATTTGATGACGGCGATGTTCACGGGGGCCGTGCAGGTGGCCATTGACAGTCCGCGCTCCACCGCCATCGCTGCCGCCGCCGCTGCTGCTGCTGCTGGCCGCCCTCAGGGCCCGCCCCCGCGCCACGCACGTGACCGTGGCGTGCACAGGTTCCCGCCTCGCCGTTGGTCGAGGGGGCAGCAGCCTGTTCCAAACAGCCAATGGCAGCGATCGGACCACGGGAGGCCCCGCCCCCTAGGAGCACTGGGCGGGGCCTGCGGGGCGCCATTTTTGAATTGGGCAAGAACTGCGCATGTGCAGATTCTGCCGGTGCTCCCGGTACCGTTCCCGCTGTTCCCGGTCCCTTCCCGCTGCTCCCGGTACCGGCACGGTTCTGCTCTCGGTGTTCCCGTTACCACTGCCGGTTCTGCTCCCGCTCCCAGTGCTCCCCGCACCTCTCAGTCCCCAGCACCCCACTGCCCCCATGTTCCCCCCAGTGTCCCCAGGACACCTCCAGTGCTCCCAGACTCGCTGTAACCTCCACACCCCAGCGCTCCTGGATCCCAGTGCTCCCAGCATCCCATCAGTGCTTCCCCCTGCAGAGGCCACGAGTGGATGAAACTGCCTTTATTGAGAAAAATGGTTTGCTACAAATACGTCATCGAGTTAATTCCTTTTCAAAAAACAGGACGGCTCGTTAAAAGTTCTAATTATGCAAAAAAGTGGTGACGCACTGGCGGACATGGCCAGTGGGATCCATGGATCCCTGGCACGGAGGGATCCCGGGCACGGAGGGATCCCTGGTGTGGCCCCTCACACCCAGGGCCTTAAAGTGCTTTACAAAAGCAGCTCTTGCTGCCCCTGCTCTGTCTCTGTGGGGCAAAAAGGAGAAGGAAAAGGAGGAGAGAGGGAAGGAGCCCGAGGTTAACAGTGCTGACCCCACAGCAAGGAGCTCTCACAGAGGTTGCTCCAGCAGCTGAGGGTCCCAGCTGAACACAGGACAGGGAAATGCTCCTGGGTCCCTCCTGGAAGATGCCAGGGCTCTCCATCCCACCAGGAACAGCCTCCAGGTGCCAGCAATGCTGGGCAGGTAAGAGAAGATCCCATTCCTCCTTGCTGGCCTGGCTCCAGAAAGGGGAGCAGGGCAGCTCCAGCCCTTTCCCTGCCCTGCTCAGGGAGCTGAGGGTTCCCTGCACGCTCCTCGCAGGGCTGCAGATCCCAAAGTCATCCAGT